GGTCCTGGAGAGACTCCTGTTGGTCCACCTGAATAAGCAAACTAGGACATATCAGGACCCGCTGCAGTTTGCTTATCGCCATGGAGTTGGAGTTGAAGATGCCATCATCCAGCTGCTTCAACCAACCCACTGTCATCTGGACAAAGCAGGCAGCACTGTGAGGGTCATGTTCTTTGATTTCTCCATTGCAATTAACACAATCCAGCCTGATGTACTTTGCCAGAAACTCCAGAAGACACAGGTGGGGCCTCAACTATCGCCTGGATTAAAGACTACCTGACAAACAGACCACAGTTTGTGAGGCTGAAGAACTGCACATCAAACCAAGCGATCAGTAACATTGGAGCACCACAGGGGACTGTACTCTCACCATTTCTTTTCACCCTGTACACCTCAGACTTCCAGTACAAATCAGAGACCTGTCATTTACAGAAATACTCAGATGACTCTGCAGTTGTCGGGTGTATCAGAGTTGGACAGGAAGCTGAGTACAGAGAGCTGGTGGAGCACTTTGTGGCATGGTGTGGAAACAATCATCTGACCTTGAACGTGAACAAAACAAAGGAGATGATTTTAGACTTCAGAAGAAACAGGGTGGAGTCAAACACTGTTTCCATCATGGGAGAAGAAGTGGAGGTGGATGAGGAATACAAATACCTTGGAGCTCACCTGGACAACAGACTGGACTGGAGAAAGAACAGCGAAGCTGTTTACAAGGGACACAGCAGACTGCACTTCTTGAGGACGCTTAGGTCCTTCAATGTCTGTAGCAAGATGCTGCAGGTCTTCTACAAGTCTGTTGTTGAGAGTGTAATCTCTTCAGCCATCGTCTGTTGGGGTAGCAGCATCAGAAGCAGGGACCTGAAAAGGCTCAACAGCCTAATGAAAAAGGCTGGTTCTGTTCTGGGGACGACTGTGGAACCACTGGAGGAGATGATGCAAAGAAGGATTCTCCAGAGACTCAAGAAAATTATGGACAACCCTGAGCATTCTCTTCACAAGACTGTCCGACAACGGACGAGTGTCTTCAGTCAGAGGTTTCTTCAGTTTCGCTGCAACACTGACCGCTACTGGAGATCCTTCCTGCCAACAGCCATTGTAATATACAAGAACTCTTTGATGACAGGATTATTATTATTATTCTGAGCTACTACAGCAATCAATTTCCCTCTGGTATTAATAAAGTATTTTTGAATTTGAATTGAACTGCAATGCCAGGGTGGCGTTGTAGGTATATTCCTCTGAGGGGTGTGTAATAGGAGGTGGAGACACTGAGATCGTATTCACTTCTTTTGGACTGGAAGTCCTCTCCTCAACCAGCTGCATGGGAGGAGTCATTTCCTTAGCCATTAAAGTGCGGTTGAGGCCGCATCTTTTATCTGAGGAGCCAGAGCTTCCTGCATGATTGGATCAGGTGCACGGGTTGAAACAGAAAGCACATCCACCTTCCTTTTGTCTTTCCTTTTAATCACGTCAAGAACCCTCTGGATGATTTCTAAGTCACCTGACTTGATGTTCATGATTTCATCTGTTTTGTTGTCCATATCCCTGTTCTTAGGGTTCTCCCGAGGGGAAGAGGACCAGTGGTTAGTCGGGGATCGACACCCTGGCTGATAGGATTGCTCCTGATAAGGACGCCTATTCTGAAACCGATAATCTGACTCACGCCCTGGACCCTGGTTGTATCTCCGACACTGAAGTGGCGACCTTCTACCTCCATAGAATTGCTCCTGGAGTCTTTTTTCTGGAAAGTAGTGATTAGGCTCATCCCTTGCTTCCTGGTGCCATGGTTGACCTCTACCCTGCGGAGGGTGGTAAGGTTCAGCCCATGTTTGGTTGTGAGAGGATGCCAGTGGAGGAGGTGCGTAGGTGCCCTGAGCGTTGGGACTGTAGGCTCCTTCAAGATGCAATGGAGGGTCATTGGAAGACAACGTCAGAACACTCGTCTCTGTCTGCTTAGTTTTGGTTTGCTGGTACTTCTGGAAGGCCCAGCATGTCCACTCTCTTAGACTTTGAATGGGTGCTGTCTGTGGGTTATCAAACCCTCTCAAATGATGGCTGGTGGTTGGATGCAGATTCTGGAGAAAGAGAGTTTTAAAGTGGGGGTCTTCCTCCATGTCCTGGTCATTTCTTGAGCCAAAGAAAGCATCTAAGAGTCGATAATAATATTCTTGGGGATGCTCATTCTTAGCCTGTTTGACGTTTAGAGCTAAGGACAATCCTGTTTGGGATACAAAACCGGAGAACTCTCTGGTTATTACTTGGGACAAATGCTCATAGTCTCTTTTGATGACCTCAGGCTGTCGCTCAACGAATCTACTTACCTCCCGACTCGAGGTCATCTTGATGAGGTCGATTTTGTCGTCTACTGTTGCGTATGGGTATTTTGTCAAACAAAACTGGATGTCCTTCAAGTAAGATTCTACATGACAGGGAACTCCTGGTCTGGGTTCGAATAGGGTAATGTTTCTTGCCATTCGATCTAAATCTTTATCATTGGGTCCGTCTAGGTTGAGGTGCTCATGTGACCTGGTGTTCAAGAAAGGAGGTAATCCTCATGGTGGAGGATACGTTGAAGTGCCTGTTAATCCTTCCCTTACCCTAGCAGGATCACTCTCTTCCTTCTGTCACGCAGCAGCACCTCTGGTAGGTGCTGGGATATCTGCGAAAAGTTTTTCTTTGGGTGAGATAAACTGAGATATGGGATATCGGAACCTTTCATTAAAGTGATTTTGTTCCTCTGATTCACAAAGCTGGGATTGTAAATCCTGAATTGTATTGTGTTGCCCCTCTAGCGGTTTTACATGGGTTTCATTTAGAGCCTGGATGGCCCGTGTCTCAGTCACATGTTCGGCCATAAGTGATTCATTTCTCTCTTTTTCTTTACTGATGTCATAAAGTTGAGTAGAGGTTTTGGCTAAATCGCTCGTGGCAATTTTAAGCTCTTCCTGAACCTCTGCAAAGTGTTGTTTGTACTGAGCTGTCTCCTCGCGGAGTTGCTCCATCTTTTGAGATTTTTTTGTTAATTGTTCCGAAGCCTGGCCGATTAGCTTATGGGCTATTGGAATCTTCTAGAGAGCATGGCGGCTAAGCTGTTGATGGTTTTCACAGCTCATTTGTCCCCGGCTGTCTGATTCATCTCTGTGTCGATTAGATTTGTCATAGCGGATTGCAATTTCTCTGAGTCCATTTGCTGGACTTCATCGAAATATTCTGGAATGTGGTTCTGTGTCAGCTCCCGAAGGACTGCATCGAGCTCCTCGAAAGATCCGGACTCCATGACCTCAGATTCCCGCCATGTTTACAAGTTTAAGTTGAAAGTCGATAAACGTCCCTTCCTTTTCCTGTGGTTAGGATTAATGGCAAATTTAAAAATTATTAACACTTCCAGTAGTTAGGCCAAAGGTTTGAGTTTTTTTACATGTCAGAATATTTATAGAGGAAAAAGAAAAAAAAACGAAAAACTTATTTTCTTTCTAAAATTGCCTTTCCTAACCTAAAGATTAACTGATTTTAAACAGAGAGAGAGAGCAAAATAAGATTAATATGAAAAAGAGTTATTTATCCTACATGCACATCTCGAAATAACAAACAAGTGCTTATTATTGGCCGTGATTCCTGTCGGTCCCACTGCTTTTAAACAACAATCAAAACGCTGGAATTAAACATCAGCTGATCCTAAACAAGCGAACATGCTTTATTTGCTGTTAGAATATTTATAGAGAGGTAAAAGAAAAAAAACGAAAAACTTATTTTCTTTCTAAAATTGCCTTTCCTAACCTAAAGATTAACTGATTTTACTGATTTTGATTTATTAACTGACTTTTTATTTATTTATTTATTTTCAGTTTAACTGCTCTGCACAAAAATATGTATCGAAAGTTTACGTATCAAGTTGCAGCTTCCCTTTTCTCACCATCAGAGGCCTTTCTTAACATGCAGCACTGGAGACAAAACTAATTTCTCGACATGTAGTCACGGTTCTACCTTGAAACAAGCTATTATTCTAGCGAATATCGGGTCAAGACATCAAATCTGCCTAACACCGACGGTACCAAAATATGTAGCGATAAATAAAGATTTACATCTATATTTCAAATGTGGTGTAGATTTAGCTTGTTTATGATCTTATATTAATTAATTGGGGCACCACCCAGCCTTTGTTAGTGTGACTGGGAACACTCGAGGGGAGATTTAGATTTTGTTCAAGGTCATCAGTCTAAATTTTAACTCCACAAGTTAGTCTGAAAGCTGACGAGCATTCAAACCTTGGGGGAGAGCCAGGTCTTGTCAGGTTGACATGGACCAGACCAAGCCCTGAAAATGTCCGCCTTTTCGATTGCTTAAGGAGGGAATCAAGTCACTTGGTAAAATTGACATTCCTGGGAAAAGATGTAGGAGTTAGCCAGATGTTCGAAAATGATCCGTTGGAATTTATATGATTGTAGGTCAGTTTCCAATTCCCCCTTTTTTCTGCTAAGTGTGAAAGAAACCTTCGTGTGAAAATGTTATTGTTCTTTTCTGTGTTAATCCACACAAAGTAAAGCTGAGGATATAAACTGTGGATTTAAACCTGCATTGTGGGTCTGTATGGTTTAAAATGGTTTTAGCTAAAGTTACTCAGAGCCATTGTAGAAGGCCCTGACTTAAGCTGTGGTAAGAGAGAAGGAAACAGTGAAGCTTTTGCTCTTTACTTGTTTAAGTAGAATTCTAATTGAATATTTGTTACATGAAATATATGACGATTTTATGTATATTTAAGAGTCAGGAGTTTTTTCTCATCTCGTTGGAAAGGAGCCACATGCGTCTCCTTGCATTGGAATTTCATGTTGTCCCACATTGAGTAATCTCTGTCCCGCATTTGGCGAGTTGGGGTCTGGTCCGCCTAATCGTGTTGTGATGACAGATGGGAATACGCTGTTGTCTCACATCTTTTCTGACAGAATTCCAAGCTCCATTCTTATTGCCATTAACAGAGTTTCCTTTGTTTTCTGCCTCAGAAGAAACTTGCCAAAGCTCTGTATGACAACACAGCAGAGTGTCCAGATGAACTTGCCTTTAAGAAAGGTGACATCATCATAGTGATGGATCAGAACGTGGACGGCACTGATGGCTGGTGGATATGTTCTCTGCATGGGCAGCATGGCCTGGCCCCTGCTAACAGACTGAGGCTTCTACCACAGACTTTGGATGACCCCAGATTATATATCGCTGAAAGTGACAACTGTGTGCCCAACATCTACCATACACCAAGCGTGCCTCGATCATCGAGGGATCTCTGTGTCTCTAACAGCCCTGCTTACAGCATGAACATGATCTACAACAGTCCATCCAGCACTGCTGTCCAGAGTCCCTCCAGGCTCAAAGCAGAAGACCCTGAGGCAGACAAGGTACAGGCTAGTTTCCTCTTAAAGTTGTAATCAGATATAAACCTAGCACAAAAGGTTTACGTGTTTGTTTTATTCTTCACGTTTTGGCAGTAATTCTTATTTAGCTGGAAAGACTGATAACTCACCTTAAAGCGGACAAAGAATGCAGTTTATCAGCATCTAAATCAGTGTTTTGAATCTGTAAGAAGGATAAGAAATTATCTTTGGCTTTCATCTGTCCCAGGTGCCCTGATACAGGCTCCTGGGACCCACTGATACCCCCTAAATCAGCCTTGCTGTGAAAAAAGCTGTTAACCCCTCCCACTTGGCCAAGCCATGAATATGCCAATGAGCTGCTTGCTGATTGGTTGGTTTGAACCAGAAGGCCTCAGACACTGGAGACAGCAGATTGGAGGAGGAAGGGCTCCACACTGTGACGTTTTTATGAGAGTTTTCTCAGGAAAGAAGTATTTCTCTGGTATTTTTAAACGTTCTAATTTGCATAAAAAGTAGGTCACACACGGCTTTTTGGCATGCTACTTTTGACCTCCCAAGCTGTCCTTATTCAGAAACAACTAGAAGAAGTTGGTTTAGATTCTTTGTCCACTTTAAGGTCAGAATCGTACATCTTGTCTCAATTCTTGGGTAAAGACTCTAAAATATGTCAGAATCCTCCCCATACTCTCCTGTTGGTATTCACACATGCTGTGAGCTTCCAAACCACATCTGTTAAGTCCAGGTGTGTGGTTCCTGATTGGCTCCTGACTCACAGCTCCTGTATGTTATTAGCGTCCCACACCACTGTGCTGGATGACCTTCAACAGCTCCTGGTGACCATCATGAGGAGGTGGAGCCAAGCTCATGGATGTTCTTCATGCTACTGAGGCTCCTGACAGTGGAAACAGACAGGTGTAAAGTTGAGCAATTTTATCTGTTTTACCCTGAATACTGTTGGAAGGTTCAATCACCAAGATCCAACAAGGAACTCTGAGCAAGAGTGAATACCACCAGCAGAATTTTGGATGAGATTTTGGCAGAATCAAAATCAGAAGAGTTTTATTGCATGTGTTGTGGCTGTACCCCAGCTGAAACAACCAGCCTAGACCAGCATATGGGATGTTTTGGTGCTGGGTTAGCTCGCAGACTAGCATACAATGCTAGTTCAAGCTAGCTATGCTGGTTGTTTCAGCAGGGTCCTCACCTTTAACTGTGCTAACTGTGTTTTATGGATACATGAGCGACCATGTAGCAAAGGGAACTTGTCAAACTTCCACAACTTTATGATTTAAAGTTGTTGTTTTTTTTAAACAAAAAAAGCATGGCTGCAACAAAGAACGTCTACCAAATACAGACTTCCTTACTTTGTATGCTAACTTTGGGAACTAGCTAACTGAAGACTATGTCTTCATTCTAAGGAAGTGTCAACTTTCATCATTGGGAATGTATGCTGCTGTAGAAATGCAACGCTGTGAAACTCCTGCTGTCAAAAGAGCTTACATATGGGGACCAGCGGCTGGTCTCCTGGGACAGCGTGCTGCACCAGGGTCTTTATGAGCCTGTAAAAGACAAACAGACACAGACTTCAGACGCTTTTAACAGCAAACAGCCTCTGCTGCCAGGGACCCCAGAAACACACGAGCAAATGCACAGGTGCTTGTGTAGTAGAGGCTGGGGAGAAAAACTAACCACATGTTCACCATTTCCTTTCTTGCTCCAGGGGAGTCTTGTTCCTCTCTACAGTAGCCACACAGTGTTCACTGAGCAGCATGTGTTTTATCTACAGAGCTCTTTTAACAGGCAAAGAGTATGCATAATGGGCTTCCCAACAGGCTTCAAAGACATTATCCCCATGCAGAAGTCAGCGAGGTAGATGAAACGATGATCAAAGCAGTCTGTGTCAGTATTACAAGACAGTCCTGGCTGCAAAGGGACAGCGGTTGTCCACTGATCCAGTCCAACCCCGACACCCAGCAGCTCACATATGATGTGTTTTTGGGCAAGATGCCGGACCCTGAAAGTTTTAGTCCACTGCTCCTGTGTTCAATGCTAAGAAGATTTTACCTATAAGGGATCAATAAAGTCTCGATCAGATATTACAGCCTGTCATCTTCTGTAGGTCTCGTTTGTCAGCACGCCGTTCAGTCCAGAGGAGAGGGTTTATGATGTCCCAAGCCGAAGAAAAACTTCTCTTTACACTGTGAGCTCATTTTGGCTTTAGAGTTATTCGTATTGAAAGTTGCGCGTGTGTGTGTGTGTGTGTGTGTGTGTGTGTGTGTGTGTGTGTGTGTGTCAGACTGAAGTTTTTATAAATTTCTACGGTTCTTTTTTCAGGAAGCAACAACTCCTGGACTAATGTCACACAGAAAAAAACTCATTTCTAAGCTGGAGAAGTTTAAGGTTCAAGAAACTTCAAGCTGTAGCAGTCCAGGAGACGCTTCTGTAAGTTTCAGATGCTTTAAGAACCTTCTAGAATAGAATACTGTCTCAAACATAGCTTTGTACTGTGAGTACAATCAAATGTACAAAAGCAGGAAGTACACTGACTGCATTTAAAAGATGTTTAAAGTTTCCTGTTTTCAACATTTCATCTAAACAAGTAAAAAAGAAACGATTCCTCCGAAACAGAAGCTCACACCCGAAAAGAACCATTCAAATTTTTTCTGCAGAACATGAGGCCACTTTGCACAAACCTATCAGTGATGTCTTTCTGATTCTAAAAGCTGGTTTCTGGTTCTACTGACGTTTCCTTTTAGTAAAAGGACTTTTCCTTCCCACTGTTACCCTGCATCCTGCTGCTCAGATCAGAGAGGTGCAGCGAAGTGATGCTTCAGACTGATCTGCTGGTTCTTTCTTTAGGGACGATCTGACAAACTGTCCTTTCTGAAACATTTGTAACCTGAATGTGAACTAGATATGAACTGGTCTGATTGCTTTTAGAAAAATGCTTCCAACTGACCTTTTGAAAGCAGAATTTCCATTAGAAGGCCTGAACTGATTCAAAACTGAGTTTGTTGGACAAATTTAAATGGAAGAATCACCAAGATAATCTGAAAGTGTTTGTATTTTACTTGGTACTTTTCTAAGGATTGTAATTTTGGTTACATTAAATGAAACCCATATTTTTCTTAGTGTCCTGTCTCATACTCACAACTTCATTCTTCTTTAAAGGTGTATCCAGTTCCACCACCCCAGGATGCAAATTATGACGTTCCGGTTCCGTCAGCCACAGAAAGCCCACAGACAATGATTGGTGCATACAGCACCCTTCCTAATCCTCGCAAGCCTGAGTGGATCTATGACGTTCCATTGGGTTCAGAGAAACAAAGTCTACACCATAGCCTATATGATACGTTGCCCTCTAAAACCAATTCCAGTCCACTCTACGATGTTCTTCCATCGTGTAATCTGTCTGTTCAAAGGGCAAACCCTAACCCATCCTCCCTTTATGATATACCTAAAGCTAATTCTTTTGAAATCCCAAGTCCCCCCAAAGCACTACCATCTAAGGAGAAACCTTTCTGCCAAATGAACGCTGATTTATCAGGCAATCAAATGCCCCTCGAAGATAGAAGTGACCCAAGCAAACTTTCTGAATTCAAAAAGGTGCGCTTGCAGCAGATGAGGAACTTTCTGGCTTGTACAACATTTCAAGACCTTTCCAATAATGTGGAGCCACTTGTGCAAGAAGATGATAAAACTAGAACATGTCCCTCTGCACCAGACAGTCAAAGAATCAGCAGAACCTCCAGCTCTTCAGGTAGCTCTTGTGACTCTCTAGCCTTGAGCTCGCCATCTCCTGAGCTTCTACATGAAGTGACGCTCAGTCAGGACGAGGCCTGCCGCAAACTCCTTGACTTGCAGGAATCTGTTTGCAGGGCAGTGCCTCAGCTCATGGAGTTTGTCAGCAGTAACTGGAGATGTAAACAACACCTGGAGAAACACCTGGAGGAGATAAAAGAAGCAACAGAGAGGATTGTAGGTGCTGTAATGTGCTTCCAGACCTTTGCCCTGGGCATTAAAGGAAACGCTCGTCATTTGACTGACATCAATCTGCAAACCAGGCTCTATAAACAGCTGTTGACTGTAGAGGACTGTGCCGTAATCCTACAACAAACAACAAGTGCTCTGAACATGGCAGGATGGACCCTCCACACACTCTGTCAGGACCCAGATGAGGTCCAGACTCCTGACCAACTGGATCGTTTTGTTATGGTGGCCCGTACTGTTCCAGATGACATCAAGCGCCTTGTGTCCATCATCTATGCCAACAGCAAACTTCTGTTTAAAAGTCCTCAGAAAGATCCAGAGTCTGTGGAAGATGATAATGACTACATTGAATTAATGGTGAGGTTATCATGCAAAACACACACTTAACTTTAGTTATACGTAGAATATGAGATGTTTTTGTTGCCAGTCAAACGAGCACATTTTTGAATATACAGGTCCATCTAAAAAATTAGCATATTGTGATAAAGTTCATTATTGTGTAGGGTTTGGTAAATTGAGTGCTTTTAGAGCTCAATATATATTACCTCTACTTATGACCAATAAGCTGTGATACTCTAAATACAGAATATCAACCCTGATTGGTCTTTTTGTGTTTATCAGAAGATTCTAGAATTCTTTATTTATTAGGGGATTGTACACACTTCGTTTTGATTCAGAAAACAGCCATGTTTATAAAAGTAAGAATTTGTTTTACCAGCAATTAAAACTTGACAAGTTAACTAACATTTTGCTGTGATGGATGGAACTAGATGTGATGTATGAAACCTATGTGTGAATGTGGTGTAATCAGAACTTCCAAATCTAGGAGAGCTGAGTTCTGGATGTAAAAGAATTTGGTTTGCGTTAAGCTATGAAGTTGATTCTTATCAAAAACACATCAGACACTATCTGTGCATCTACTTCTGAAACATTTCATTTTATTATAATTATTATAAGTAGCAATAAACAAACAAATGTTTATTTAATGATTCTCTAGCTTATACGTTTTAGAAGTTCATATTTAATTTAGGAAATCATTCTTTGATTTAGCAACTGATCCGAGCTGCAAGTGTTAGGCATGAAGAATCCTGTAGGGTGATAAATGTCAAGAATGAGTCGTTAACATCTTACTTATGAACCATAAAATATGAGATTCCATAGAAATATGAAATATCAATCTGATGGATCTTTGAATATTTTAACCAGAAGATCAGAACTTTTTATTGTAGGGATTAAGCGACACTTCGTATTAACTCGGAGGAAAGAGAGAGAGTCAGGTTTAAAATAGTTAAGAAATTTACTTCTACACAATTTAAACAAGACTAACTTAAACACTCTGTGTACTGATGGACTAAGGTGGAGTGAGACGTGATGAATGATGATGGTGTGTGTGTGGAATGTTATTCAGAACCAGCGGATCTGGAGAAGCATTTAGTTCTGAGTGGGAGTGAATGTTTCGCTCTAAACTTTAGTCGGAGATTTATAACACACATGAAACGCCATCTGTCGGTCTACATACCCAGGGGAAGCCTCGGTTAGATCCAGGATGCAGAGGTCTTCGTGGACCCTCTTTGGTACCAAAGCCGGTAGAAAAGCAGTGGTGCTGACCAATCTAGTCTTGGAATGCTTCCAGGTCTCGACAGGTTATCACTGGCGTCTCAAAGACCCTGAAGGGGTCGTGAGGTTCAGCTTTTATTCTGAAGGAATTGTTGTGGTCAGGTGTAACTTGCAACAGATTTTATCCAGCTTGTCTGAGGTTCTTTATGGCTGAAGAGGAAGTCCGGATGGCCGGTCCGAGACTTCTCTAGAACGCTTTGAACTAAAGAAAAGGTGGCGTGGAATAGTTTTTATAATTGTCATATTTTGGTTTACTGGCGAATCAGAATTTGACATGCAAAAGAGGGTTTATACAGGTGCTGGCCAGTAAATTAGAATATCATCAAAAGGTTGAAAATATTTCAGTAATTCCATTCAAAACGTGAAACTCGTACATTATATTCATGCAATGCACACAGACCAATGTATTTCCAATGTTCATTACATTTAAATTTGATATTCATAAGTGACAACTAATGAAAACTCCAAATTTGGTATCTCAAAAAATTAGAATATTCTGAAAAGGCTGAATATAGAAGACACCTGCTGCCACTCTAATCAGCTGATTTACTCAAAACACCTGCAAAGGCCTTTAAAAGGTCCCTCAGTCTTGTTTTGAAGGCACCACAATCATGGGGAAGACTTCTGACTTAACAGCTGTCCAAAAGACAATCATTGACACCTTGCACAAGGAGGGCAAGACACAAAAGGTGATTGCTAAAGAAGCTGGCTGTTCGCAGAGCTCTGTGTCCAAGCACATTAACAGACAGGCGAAGGGACGGAAAAAATGTGGTAGAAAAAAGTGTACAAGCTCTAGGGATAACCGCACCCTGCAGAGAATTGTGACGACAAACCCATTCAAAAATGTGGGGGAGATCCACAAAGAGTGGACTGCAGCTGGAGTCAGCACTTCAAGAACCACCGCGAGGAGACTCATGAAAGACATGGGATTCAGGTGTCGCATTCCGTGTGTCAAGCCACTCTTGAACAAGAAACAGCGCAAGAAGCGCCTCACCTGGGCCAAGGACAAAAAGGACTGGACTGATGCTGAGTGGTCCAAAGTTATGTTTTCTGATGAAAGCAAGTTCTGCATTTCCTTTGGAAATCAAGGACCCAGAGTCTGGAGGAAGAGCGGAGAAGCACAGAATCCACGTTGCATGAGGTCCAGTGTAAAGTTTCCACCGTCAGTGATGGTGTGGGGTGCCATGTCATCTGCCGGTGTTGGCCCACTCTGTTTCCTGAGGTCCAGGGTCAATGCAGCCGTCTACCAGGAAGTTTTAGAGCACTTCATGCTTCCTGCTGCTGACCAACTTTATGGGGATGCAGACTTCACCTTTCAACAGGACTTGGCACCTGCACACAGTGCCAAAACCACCAGCACCTGGTTCAAGGACCATGGTATCCCTGTCCTTGATTGGCCAGCAAACTCGCCTGACCTTAACCCCATAGAAAATCTATGGGGTATTGTGAAGCGGAGGATGCAATACGCTAGACCCAACAATGCAGAGGAGCTGAAGACGACTATCAGAGCAACCTGGGCTCTCATAACACCTGAGCAGTGCCACAGACTGATCGAGTCCATGCCACGCCGCATTACTGCAGTTATTGAGGCAAAAGGAGCCCCGACTAAGTATTGAGTGCTATACATGCACATTCTTTTCATGTTCATTCTTTTCAGTTGGCCAACATTAGAGAAACAAACATTTTTTCATTGGCCTTTAGAATATTCTAATTTTCTGAGATACCAGATTTGATGTTTTCATTGGTTGTCACCTATAAATATCAAATTTAAATGTAATGAACATTGGAAATACATTGGTCTGTGTGCATTGCATGAATATAATGTACAAGTTTCACGTTTTGAATGGAATTACTGAAATATTTTCAACCTTTTGATGATATTCTAATTTACTGGCCAGCACCTGTACAAACACCACAGAAAACCACGCCTAGCCCCAGAAACAAAGGTTCTGATTGGGTCAGACAAAAGGAAATGTGTTGTGTGACTTTAGCATTATGTGTCATCAGTGTCTAGTGCAAATGTCAAAGATTATAATAACTTGTAAAATACTATTGATCACAGGATTATAATATCAAGTAATAAACATTGTCATTTCACAGATTGATTGAACATCGGGCTCACATTATTATTGGTGATTAACAAAGTTGTTGATTATGTGTTTATCAAAATAGTTCTTCGTCTTCACTTGGTAACAGAGGTGAAGCAGTTCAGATGAGCAGAGTACATGAAAGGCCTTGGCCACTAGCCTGTCAGAGACTTTATGTCTCTGCTCGAGCAGATACAGCAGATCATGGCCTTTAGGTCAAAAACAGGACATTCATGATGCTACATATCCCCCCTTTTCAAGGGCATGGTGGTCCAGGCAGAGACCACCTGACGTTGAACAAACCAGAGGCCAGAAGGACTCCGCCGAGAAAACAAGGTGTAATTTCGCAGGCAGAGGCCAAAAGTGGTGAGGAATGAACCCCACACCGAAGGACAGACACAGATAATTTCCTTTGGAAGTGGTTAAATCAACAATCAGTAGATCATTAATACATCCATGGGAAGGGAATAATTGAAGCAGTAATTAGAATTTTTTATCTCCGCGTGGAGGGAATAATTCAAACAGTAATTTGATCCTTGTAATTGCACTTAGCGTAATCCAGAGTAGGAAGAAGACGAGCAGGCAACAGATCAGGTCCCAGCAAACAAAGTATCCCAGCAGTCATAGCCGGAATCAACGGACGTCCAGGTCCAACGAGCCGGAACACCAAGCAGCAAGCAGCAGAGTCCAATCACGAATCATAGGGCCACCCCCAGGAATCGTGGAACATCGGCAAAACTCAGCAGAGGGGAGAGAGCACAACACAGGGCACTTCATTGTAGACACAGAAGGCGTTTGATGCAAATCAACAAATAAAAAGAAACCTGTCAATATGTGTACCTGTATGTACTATGTGAAGCAATTATGTGAACAGAGCCCAAGTGAAGAAATGGATGTAATACACTACGTGTACTCATTACCTGACTTCAGGAACACACAGCATGACCATCTCAAATCACCCAAGTCTGCACGTCATGTATAAACAGGAAAGACAACCATGCACACACACAAACAAACAAACTTGTGCAACCTGAAACAAGGGACCATGGGACTGACGATGGAAAATAGAGATCACTCCCCTTTTGAAGTAGAAGGCCTAGCTGAAGGCACGGGAGGTGCCAGAGGAGGTACAGGTGCAGGAGCGACCGGCACAGGTTGCGGTATCTGGACAGCCAGGGCGTCGCGGAAAACCGGCACGAGGGCACGAGATAGGCAGTCACCGACGTTGCGGACCAACTCTCGTAGGGAGTCATCCGTGCGGAGAAGTGACGGAACAGGAAAAATGACAACCCCAACGACAGACAAAGTTTTAAGCATGCAGTGAATAACACGACAGAATCAGTTGAGGACCAGGAGTAAGACACTGGTTGAATCCTGAGACCGGGATCTGCCTACAACTCACGCAGCACCCTGTTTACTGCACCAATCCGAACCATGGTTGGACCACTGAACGTAAGACGATCCACCATAGCAGGAGAAAGAGCAAAGGAGATGTTATCATAAAAAGGAGAAAACTCCACAACAGACCTATGCTCACCAGGATCCAAGTAATGTAGAGAGACCTCACCTACATGGACCGTTGCACTACGTGAAACTGTCACCCATAGAGTTTGGGACGGAAGCACAACACGTGTGGACACACCATGACGCTCA